TCAGCGGCATGTTGACGAAGCTTGAGCCCCAGTCTTCCTCCTTCGATCGCCGGAAATCCCACGTCATCCTTCCGAGCATGATGAAGTGATCGGAGCCGTTGGATCTCCGCCACGGCGGCTGATCGCTGACCCACCGGAGCAGCCCCTCGCAGAGCGTGTCCCGCTCCTTGGCCGTGTAGCTCGTGAACAAGTACTTCCCGACGGCGACGGCGGCGTAGAACGGTATGTAGAACGTCGTGGCGAGCTCCGGCACCGTCGTCCGGCACGCGTGGTCCATGATTCTGGCGTGGTAGATAATTTCCCCGGCGAACATATCCGTCCAGTACCACGACGGAAGAAGATTTTCCGGCACGCCGGAAAGCCCGGCCGCTCTCGGCCCGAGGCCTCGATTCGAAACTGCGTTGCAACGCGAGTGCCATGGATCTAAATCGCCGCAGTTGTCCAGCAACTCCTGGTTAAACATCGCCGGAAGTTCGTACACGTACACCATCCCATGCTCGCATTTACCGACCAATTTCTCGGACGAGAGTACTCCTCCATTTTTCCGGTGAACTGAATCGGCACCAGTCTTCGATTTCTCTGAACTTATTCTTACCTCTGCGATTGGCGGCGGCGGTGGCGGCAGCGAAATAGTTTCCGGCAAGTTCTGATTAGAAAGTAACAACGCAGATTTCGACGGAGCGCTGAAAATGAATTGGAGAACGAAGAATTGAACGAGGAGGATTATGAAAAGCTGGAAAGTTTTGTAGAAGAAAGCCCGAATTGGGTTTCTTGAAGGAAGATTACTTTTAGGTTTTTTATGGGACTGGTTGTCGGAAGATATTGGATGATCCAACATGGTGGCCGATGATTAATTACTGTTCTAAAAAAGAAAAGATGGAGTTGTAATAATTGAAGCTAATATCAATAGTGATACATACATGTATATGTATATAATGCATATATGGAAGTAAACCCTAGACAGCAAGATCGAAGAAGAGATGTAGACATCAGAAAATTAGATCAAATAAATTTATATACTATATTTTATATATATAATACATCTGTCTGAAAATTATTTAAAATTAATAAGAAATAATGTGTGAAAGTGAGGTGTTCGATTCGATCTTGTTTGTATCGTTTACTAATGAAAAAAATAGGGTTTAATAATTTGATATGATAATTATTTAATTAGGTTATGTATGTGTGGTATCAACTTGTGATATAAGCAAACGATCACTGGGTTGAGTACACTCGTCATTTTAGTATATATAGATCCCTCACTTTTTTATTTTTTTGTTACAGATTTTTTATTAATTAATGAATTCGTATCTAATTAAATATTGAAACTCAATTGGACACGTTCAATGAGACAATATGATGAAATGCCATCTATTTTAGTTTTTGCTAACCAAAGATTCCTTTTTATTTTTTTAAATACTCAAATATGAAAAATAATAAAAATCAATGATGTATTGATATTAATTGTATTTTTTATTAACTAATAACAAGAATAATTTAATCACCTTTTATTTTGATGATTCAGTTCATTAATAAAAGTTTCAATGTAACAAATATTTTGGGCATAGGGAATAGTAATTGCTTAATTAAATTATTTCTTATAAAACACGTACTGCACAAAATACTCTAAGAACTATAATTAATTGAGCTCGATCTATATTTCCTTGAGAAGTCTCACTTATTTGAGAAATTAAATAAATACCTACAAGTCTATTAATTAATTATTATAAAACCCCTAATTTATTTTCGGTATTACATAAGTACAATTATTTTTTTCTCTTTAGACTTGCTCATAGTTTAAATCGTGTACCCTACGACTACTATTTTTTCAATACGTCTTTATTTCTGCTTTTCATAATTTTCTGTCAAACACAGATTAGCTTAATTAAGTAGTCAATAAATACCGGCCGTATAATAAAATATAATATATGAGAAAAGGAATCTTAATTAAAATAATATTGATGAAAATGACGTGGAGCCTAGTTGTCACTGTAGACAAGGAGATGTTCAATTGTTTGAGTTTGAGGTACGGCCGCCCACCAATTAGATGGAAGCTTCCAATTTTAGCCCTAGCCGCCCTCACAAACCGGCTGCTCTTCATTCAATTTATCACATCTGTTTTTATATACTTATGGAATTTAATCAATTTATTGTTAACTTTATTGTCTTAGTTTTTTATTTTTCTTTTTTAATATCTTATATGTAATTAAAAGTACTTAGCGACCATTAGTTACTCTAATAGCATTTTTGTAAGTATGTTTTTTTTTTTTTTTAAATTAAAAGAAAAGTTTATGTGTCGATTGACTCCATTTTTTAGCAACTAAACTTGAAGTCAACTTGATCTCGAAAGATGAAATAAAATAAAATAAAATTATCTTGGATTAAAAAAAATAACCATGGTCTTAGATTTCATAAAAAAAAAAAAAAAAGATGAGAAATCACGTGAATCGTGCGTGATCAACATTTAATGGTGGATCAAAGTACAGGGGGCATTAATTGAAGTAACGTAGTAACAAGCTAAGTCGTTGCTCTAAAACCATATCATTAAGATTATTCCAATATAGTTTAATTAGTATTTCAATTTGACTACTAGTCAGTTAATCAATACGACTATCTGACTTTCTTATCACAAAAAAAATTAAAAAAAAAAATTAAATAATAATAACAATAATAATTATTAGTATTAAAAAAATACTGCACAACGAAAAAACCCGTATTTAACGGAAAACGTGGTGATCGATGTGGTGGTTACGCATTTTTTGGATCTGAATCAGAAATTAGTATACAGTACTACTATTGGCTGTTGCAATTTGCAAGCAGTTTAATTACAAGTTTTCAGATATTGACTTTTTTTTTTTCTTTTTCCATTTTTCCTAATCCCATTTTTCTCGTGTTGTTCATCATAAATTAATTCATAATATTTATTTATTTAATGGGTGGGATATCACATTAAGATAAGATGAGTTCCATATCACTGGTTAAATAGTTAGAACTTGTTATATTAACTTATCGAACTAAATTTGAACACATATTTTGGTTTGATATACGAAACTCGGCCCATGATCGATTAAGAAATATATAGACGTATAAAAACTGACGCTACTTCAGCACGATTCGGAATCGATCGACTAAAGCTCGTTTGAGCTCGTTTCGATTTTGAAAACTCGATAAAATTTTATAAAACGCACTCGGCTTGACTACATTCATTTATCATCGTCAACACGTAAAACTATTCAATAATTTGTTCAAACTATTAACCCAGAGTTTTTTTTTTTCTTTGTTTTAGGTCTCATTGTTGCCTCACTTACAAGCCCAATTTTCATTGGGCTTTGTATTATGTTTCTTAATCACCGTAATTTAACCTTGTATTTAATATTTTTGTGTTTATTTTAATAGTTAAAAGAAAATTAATCAGTTGGGCCAAACCATAAACAGCCCAAAACAAGGCAGATATCAAGAAATAGTTAAGACATTTTTAAGCCCAATAAAAAAATTTGTGCCTTTGAACCAAAATATTCTAGATGGTACTGAAAAAACTGCCGAAAGTGATGTTTTTCTTTTTAAATTATAGTAAATATTTAATTGCATTTTTTTATTATTATATTTAAATATACCAATTTTAGGAGACAAGTTAACAGACAGCAGTGGGTCCCTGGATATAAAAATAATCTTAGTCACCGATTACTTGAATCATAATTTATAAATTAGAACCATTAACACATATCTAATTATCCATCTAACCTATTCTTTTATTACAAGTCATTGACATGACTTAATAAAATCACAATAATAATAATAATGTAAAATTTAATTGAGTTACCATGTCAACCGATTTTTCTTGTCTTTACGAATTATGAGATGCTACATCGGATGAAGTCAAATGATTTTAGACCATAGATTCATACAAATAATTATTTATTAAGTAGACAAGTGTGCGCGTTTATGTTATTATGTGTAGATATAAGGTTTAAGATTACCTGGTGTATTTCACTAGATGTAACATCTATAAAATTATGGCTAATCTATGAGATAAGATCAAATTACTAAAATACCCTAATATTTGAGTAATTGCAACTACCACCTACGTATTTTCTTATGAAAACAATTCCTCATTTAGTTGATAAATTTAACACTATAAGAATAAATGTGTAAGACAACAAGTAGTTAATGATGATTGTAATAAACAGAAGGCCCCCCCCCCCCCAACATTTTTGACATTACCTTAAGGGTTTACCGTAATTTGCCCATCGTTTTATTTTTTTCCTCCAATTTTGGATAAAAGTAATGACAGATGTGTTTAATAAGTCAGACGATCAATTCTACTTTCAAATAATTTCCTAATTTATATTTCCCGAAACATAATTTTGAATAAACCTAAATTAAAAATTTTCCTTTTAAGTTTCCTCACAATAAAAAAAAATATAAAATAAGAATCTCTGACATTTTTTCCTAACAAAGAATATTTGACTTTATACATTCATTTAAAAAAAAAAGGGAAATAGCCATTAATTTATCTTTTTTTTTTTTTTTTTATATTAATGCCATTAATTTATCTTAGTACTCGAAGATAACGTATCAAGGTTCAATGAACTTCTTCAATATTTATATGTAGCGAAAAGTCTCATTTTTGTTTAATTTAAACACTCGTCCATAGTATATGATTTAATCACAATTTGCACCCTTAAAGTTACAACATTTTGTCACTTTGCGTCCTCTAAATTTTTTAATAACACTTTGCGCCATTAAAACACAATAAATACACTCTAAATAAAATTTTAAAACTAATAAATGAAATTTAATATTTTTAGTGATATTCTTTTAATGATATTAAATGTCAAGTCAATTTTTTTTAGATTTATGAATTCCTTGGAAACTACAAAATGAAAATAATAAACTATTTCCCTTATCAACATATTTAAAAGTTATTATCTTTTTCACAAATAATATTTTACGAAAAAATAAATAAAAAAATTAAGTTGTTATCAAGTTATTTGAAAATATATCTTCTGCAATAGATATATATGTACTAATTACAATAAAAGATCCACGTATAAACGAATAATTTAATGAGATTTTTTTTTAGAAAATCTAGTTTTTTTCATAACATGTGATTTGTGCTTTTTCGTATTTTTTACGCTCGAAATTAAGTTGAAGGTAGAAGGAAAAGATAATTTAATTTGTTAATTTTCACATTGGAAATTAAGAAGAAAACAAAATCCCAACAAAATCTAAAATTGCCCTTGCCCTCGTCAAATTTCAATTCAGGGTGCGTTATGCATGATTTATTATGTTTTGGGTGTAAAGTGCTATCAATTTTTATTAAGGGGGCAAAGCGCATAAGTACTATATATCAAGGGTGTAAAGTGGAATTAAGCAATAGTATATAAAAGAAACTAATCCTCAATATTATTGCCTCTCTGAGTCTTCCCCTCCAATTTCTCTGCAAATTTATCCTTCTCCAGAAAAAAAAAATCCAGATTTAATTAATTGAAAATTTAGTCTACAACTGAAGATAATCCGACTTCAGCCCGGCCCGGCCCGTTGATTCACGAGTTCTTGAGCCAAAGGCACAAACCCTGAAGCTAAATGCAGAAACACCATTGATCTCCAGGTAATTAATGAAAATAATCCAGCAAAAAAGTATAGAATTTCATTTTTATTGAGTTTTATTTATAATTTAATTTAATATTTAAGCATATATTTCAGAAATTAAATTGACCGGCAATCCTGGGAGAAAAGTGAAAGATGGGTACTTGGGTAGACGTAAGTCCTCGGCCATGATCAAATTGATTAGTTAGTTGATTAATCTTCTTAATTGTAATAACACTGTAATTAATTCTAATAAATTTTTGGATAATTTTGTTTTAGCAGGATGATGACGACGAGGAAACCCCGCTTTCGATTGTCTTTTACGCCCCGATCATCGGTAATTAAACTGCGTTTCGTATCGATTTTCGATCGTGATTAATTAAATTGGATGCTTAATGATTATGGTTGTTAGAGTTGTTGCTTAAAAGGTACTAAAGATTCAAATATGTTGGCCCAATTTATATATTTATACTTTGTAGGGACCCGACAGCAAATAATTGCTCACCTTTTGTTTTCATAGAAGTATAATCCTTTTATTAATTTTTTTCTATGAATATTCTAATTGAGGTGATTTAGGAATTAGGAATAGTAATCAAGGGTAAAATTGTAAAATGGGCAATTAATTTTTTTTTTTTTTTTTTTTTGCAATTTTCACCTAATTTCAGCAATACTGGTGATGATTATTGCACTGATAGTGAAGCTCCTGTGGAACTGGAACGAAGATGGTGGCTACGGCGAAGAAGCAACGGAGAGTAGCGGTTTATTATCGTACAAGGACGAAGAATCTTTGTACAGTTCGTACGGTACAAGTGAAGAGGATTTAGAATCATGTAATAATAATATTAATAATAACAGTAAAGGGAGTTGCAGTAGTAGTTATTCTTCCTCGGGTGACGATTTGTACGACGGAACGATATGCGCGATATGCTACGACGAGCAGAGAAGCTGCTTCTTTGTTCCTTGTGGCCATTGTATTACCTGCTATACTTGCGCTAACAGGTAATTCAATTTATTGTTTAGATTTATTTTTTAATTTTAATGTAGAAAATCTTATAATTAAGCCATAGGGATTAATGTGTGAAATTGAATTTGAATGCAGGATCATTAGTGAAGAAATCAAGACTTGTCCAATCTGCCGCACATCTATTATCAAAATAATGAAGTTACATATTTCATGAAACAAATTTTTTAAATTTTTTTTTTTGTTAATTAAGCAAGATCATCTGTATATATGTAAGGTGGTCCTGTAAATATCATAAATGTGTACATATTATTGAAAAAAAAAATTGTGAATATATTATCCATACACATGGAGTCATCATTATTCATAGTCGACCGGGTTTATTTTTATTTTAAATTCCGAAGAAGGGTTTATTCATTTGGATTAAATCTTGGGCATCTTAAATTAGGAGGATTCATGAGATTCAGACAACTGGTCTATGAGATGTTACACCTGATGTAGAAGACTGAATGATTTTGGACTATAGATCAATATAAATAGTTACTCATTAAGTACACGAACAGATGTGTTTGTGTATTATTGTATGCAATAATGTAAATCCATAGTTCAAGATCACTTGATGTATTACACCGCTTATAACATCTACAAAATTTCAGACAACTCGAGAATACGGTCGAGATTTGTTTAATGTAATTGCTGGCAGTTGTGAGGGCAAATTAGTCATTTAAAGTATTTATAATTAAAACATTTTGAAGTTTAACAACATATATCATTGGTCAAACGAAACAAATGCCAACTTTATTATAAATTAAAAAACAAATACTTGTTACGAAGATATATTCAATATAAAAAAAGTGGGCCCCAAAACTTATCCTTGAAATTGCATGGGGCCTTTAGTCATTTTCCCTTTGTCCGAACATTAAATACATCACATTCAACTTCTTTAACCCATTCCTTTGCTTGATATCTTGTCTCTTCACTTCAAGAATAATTGTCCTTAATTATTATATGAAATATATATACCTATAATATAATATTTCTCGTCTCTCATGTAGCACCCCCTTCTAGATGGGCGATAAATCGAACCAGTTTATCGGAATATTTGTTAAACTAGCGGAAGCAAATGATCTCTTTGTAATTTTTAAAACATTGGAATGGGGCGAAAATGCAATTATCAAAAATTTACTCCTTTGGGTAATGAAAACTTTGCACTTTCAAGAACAACTTTTCTTGGGTTACTTTAGCCGAATAAAGATTTCGTTTTTGGGATAAGTTTCGAAAGGAGGTTTTTCGTTCGAGTGCTACAATATCACTATCGGTTTTTGGTTCGAGAAATAATCAGAGTTTTTGAAAGGTTATTTTGGTGAATAATTCGAAAGTTTCTAGTGAAGGCATGAAAATAGCAAATTACGAAACTTACTATATTAAAGTAGGAATTAAGTACGAGTCATAACGGAAGGAGTTCAAAAGTACGAAAAGAGAAATGTTACGGTTTAGGGTTACACCACCAAAAGAAAATAACCAAAAGTTCTAGCATCGTTCATAGGTCCTCGTACGTCTTCCGAAATTCCGGGCAAGACCTCGATCCACTACTCGATCCATCCCGGTTGAGGATTACTAGCACTACTACCTGCAATTAAAAGACATCTATATGAGCTATAAAGCTCAGTAAGAAATCCGAGTATTATCGAACTTTGGAAATACGTTATACATAATATATAATATTGTATACCCGTTCTTACCCACGTTTCGCACAACAACACAAGGCAATCGGTCAATTCACATATCTCACGAAAACACATCATTTAACAAAATCACGTAATTATGCAAAATGACTAAAATGCCCTTTTTGTGAAAATCATGAAAAACACATTTTTCGTTTTATCGGATCCGTGAAAGATTAATTTCTGTACCGGATAATAAACCTGTTACGAGCCCGTTTTCACTAAGTGGAATCAAACCACTACCACATCATCCTAGTTGGATACCGGCCCACTATATCCGAGTTGTTTATTACCCGATATTCCATTAATCTTTCAAATAAAAATCATTTAATGCAACTTTTCGAAATAATGCTATGACCCACACATGACGTCACAAATATCAATCAAGTGCCACAAATTTACACAATTATCACAATTTACCACATATTTGTAATTTAGGCAAAAATCCCAAATTCACACACATAAACACACAACCACACACGGCACACACACCATGCACAATCAGCACACGCACCTTCACACATTTTCAGCACACACACATGCAACCAATACATTAAACTTCACCATTTAATCATCAAACCATGCTTAAAGCAAATACCCCTTTTTCACATCTCATTTAATGAACTTATTACCACTTCTAGGTAATAATCCATTTCAATCAATTCTTCACAGCCATTAAACACATCCAGCAGTAATTAAAGTACAAAGATACCAAAACTCATCACTCATCACCATTAAATCAAGAACATAAACATTAAAGCACAAAACATGTTAAATGGCATGCAATTTGTCCAAATTTCGAAATAATAGCAAACTCATTCCAAAAATCCCCAAATTAAATCCTAGGACTCCTAACTGACCCAAATTCCAGATTCTGAAGTTATTTTAAATTTTCACAAAGTTTCGAATTTTCTTGAAATTAAAAACTAGGAAAAATCTTGTTTTTCAATTAAAATCCAAAACTCAAACATAACTCTAATTAATTTCAAAACTTGTTAAATAAAACTTGTTCCTATCTAATACTTGCTGAAAAATAGATCCAAACTTAAAAAATGAGAGATTTTTTGGAATTTGCAGTTTTGACCCAAAAGTTTTGGAATTTATACATGCAACCACACTAGAAGTTCAATTTCTACTTTTCCATGAAAACCCCTAACAAATCTGAAATTCCACTTTACTAGATGCAGAAAATGAAGTTGAAAAGTTGCTTTGTGCAGAAATTTCGGAAATTACATAATTTACCCCAAATTCTCTAGATCTACACATGCAAGCCTACTAGAATTTCAAAAATCAACTTTTCTTACAAAAATTCCTTAAATCCGAAATTTTTGTTCAAAAAATGCTGGAAAACAGTTTTGAAAACACTTTTAGGACTGACTTTGCAGAAATTACAGATTTGACCCAAAACTTTCAAAGATCTACACATGCAACCACAAAAAGTTAAAAATTCGTTTTTCTTGAAAACCCCTTTTTGAAATCTGAAATTTTTAAGGCTTTTGGCCAATAAATGTTGTATCTACCCACTATCAACTTAGATGATGCATGCAAGAACAAGAAACACTCATTTTCCATTTTTTTTCAAAAACCCCTAAATTTTCGAAATACTCCCAATCTTTTAGAAAATTTTGAAAACCCTTTTTAATACTATTGATGCCATTTAATTGCAGCAAAAAATCGGAATTTCTTACCTTAAAATCAAAGAAAGAAAATAGCCGAAAGGGAGGGGGCTTTCAAGCACCGAAGTCCAACCAAGCCACCTTGATTGTGAAGGAAATGGTGTGAGCTTCAAGGAGGGAGGAGTTGTGATCTCTCGTAAGGAGGCAAGTGGTTTTGATGGTATTTTTGGAGTAGTCTATGGCAAGAGTTAAATAAGGAACTCTCATTTTTATGTTGGGAATTATTTGAAAATGTTAGGTGAGGTGGAGAGAGGAGAGGCCGATGGTGGTGGTGATTTGTCTCGGTGGGAAGAGGAGAGAGAGACAAGTAAGTGTAGACGTGTTGGAAGGAAAAGAGATGAAGGTGTCTCTTCATCTTACTAATGAAGGTAGAGTGTAGGATTAGTGAAAATGATGAGTGTTTTGCCAAGTGTAATGCATGCCTAATTAGACATTATTTATTTATTTAATTTAAATCTCAACTTGCATCACAACACACACACACACACACATCATCCGAACACACACACACAATTCGGACATATATATATATATATTCAAATGTATAATGCAAGTATTAGTATATATGTATGTATACGTATGCATGCATGTATGTACGTATACGTATACGTATACGTATATATATATATATATATATATATATATATATATATATATATATATATATATATATATATATATATATATATATATATATATATATATATATATATATATATATATATATATATAATTTATATTTGGATTAATGTACTCCCTCAGTTGCATTCAAAATATGTTGTTTAAGATTTCGATAGTAAGAAATTTATTAAACATATTGTAGTTGAATCTTGCCGAAAATAACATTAGAAATACTAAAATAACCTACATTGAATGAGGTGATCGATACAAAATATTTTTTTTCAAAAGGTTGAAGTAACAAGTGTAAAATTAGCAAAAATACATTTGTCCCGCAAGGAATGGCCTATGGGTTGGAGTAAGTGAGCATGTGTCAATTGACCCAGATTCGAATTTCCTTGCCAACGGTCGGTTGGTCGGGCTTGTTACACATGATTAGCCTAGTGTGGTTTACATCTCTTGTATGATTTACAAGCTATTATACGAGAGTGTAAATTTACACAGTATACATATATGGTTGGCTGATGATTCTTTCGTTACCAAAAAAAAAAATTCATTTCAATGTGTCATTCGTATTCTAAAGTCACAAAAAATATGGAACAAAAGAAATTTACTAAGTTGATCGGAAATCCCAAATATTCAGTTTTGGCCGCCCTTGTCTTAGGACAAAACTGAAAAGTTGTTGAGAAAAAGTGGAGCAAAAATAATAATATTTTCCTTCAAAAAGTGAAGCCAATGCCAAACATTTCACCCTTTTTGTGCTTTATTTGGTAGTTTGCTTGAGTTTTTGGCCAAAACTATTATTAGAAATAAAGATAGGAATGGAAAATGGTTACAAATTCGGCGGGTAATGGGTTCAAACTTTTAAAACCCGACGATTCAGAGTCTAATAGGTTGATTTTATATATGTGTGTGTGTGTGTGTGTGTGTGTGTGTGTGTGTGTGTGTGTGTGTGTGTGTGTGTGTGTGTGTGTGTGTGTGTGTGTGTGTGTGTGTGTTTTAGAATAGTTCTTAGATTTCATTTCTCAAGCTTGTGTGAATTAGTATTGAAGGAGCTTCAACCGTGCAGATTTGAGGAGCTGGCATATTCGAAAACATAATATTCGAAACTACACGAACGACGTCAAGTAAAAGAGGGAGCCTTTCGTTTATTGAATACATCATAATATTGTAAATGTGACTTTGAATACAGTGGAATTTTGTATTTGCTCTATGAATATTTTTTGATACAATTGTATTTGAACCACATTAAATTTGCGTTTCGTTTAATTATGTTTTTTCTTTATGTTATACCACTGAAAACAACATTGAATGAAAAATTGGAACATTGACACAAATTAATAACTATTGCAACAAAACGAAACTATTAGTATAGATGT